ACTCAAACCATGGTCGGCCATGTGGGAGTCCAACGCCTTTAACCACCATGCTCCATGCTGACCCCAATTTATTTATTTATTTTTAATTTGACTCTAAAGAGATAGAAAGAGACAGAGAGAGAAAGTGAGAAAGCTAGCCGGCAGGTTTGGGACTCTAACTGCAGCTAGCTATGTGAAAGTCCAGAGCCTTAACTACCACCACCTGCTGGTCCCCAAAATTTACCATTTTAAAAAGGCTCCAGTTTGGGGATCAACAAATGGCATAACAGTTACATCACTGGATTCCCACATAGTTGACCACAGCAGCTTAAAACTCATGCCAGGTGCGTGTGTGTGCACCCCAAATCCTGAAAGAACAAAGGAAAAGGGAAAGAAACATCTTAAGTGCCGATTGGCAGATGAATGGATGAAGAAATTCGAGTGTATATACAATGGAATATTAGCCTGAAGGACATTATACTCAGTGTAATATCCCAGAGTATTTAAATTTTTCCACTTAGTAATAGCTATTAATTGCATTATCTTTATTCATAGATAGAGAGATAGATAGCAAGAGTCACTGCTGAAACCTACTTTTCTCCTATTTTGAGGTTTCTGTTACTATTTCAGTTTGTAATTGTTTAGAGTATCCCTTTGGGTATTCTCTTGAGTTAGGAATATTGGCATATTATGCTATAAATGTTTTTATATCTAAAATTGTCTTTTGCTCTGACAAAGAATGATACCTCAAAATAGTGGGTTTTTAATTTTTGGATCTCACTTTTTAAAAAAATAATTATTTATTTATTATTATTATTATTGTTAATACTGTTTTTCACATGAGTTTTGCCAGAGAAAGACAGAGAGAGAGAGAGAAGGAGAGGGAGAGTGAGAAAGCAAGCTGCCAGATCCAGGACTCAAACCATGGTCAGCCATGTGGGAATTCCAACACTTTAACCACCATGCCACCTGCTGGCCCTTTTTTTAATTTGTTTTTAAAATAATAATAATAATAATTATTATTATTATTAATATTGTTTTTCATGTGAAGTTTGCCAGAGAAAGAGAGAGAGAGAGAGCTCTCACATTTTTGAAATCTCAATAATGTATAGATTTTTTTCTTCTAAATGGCTTCTATGGCTGCAAATAAGTCTAGTGCAATTGTGATTCCTTTTTGCTGTAAATAACATACTGTTTCTGCCTGAAAGTGTTTTATATTTTCTTTTTATCCTTTAAATTCAATGTCAAACCAACTTTGCGATTGATTAGGTTCCTTTGGGAATCAATTGGGATTGATTAGGTTCCTTTGGGAATCAAGGATTTAGGGGGGATGATTTCTGTTGGCAAGGATAACTGAATTAAGGTCCAATAGGATTAGAGGGTTTGGTTCTGTTTTTGTTATAGGTCGCGTGTGCTCCTCAGAAAGACAGACAGAAAGCAAGAAATCACCCTCCTAGGGGATGACCATGCCGCAATCCCTTCTCCTTCATTCTCCTCTTGGGGGTTTTGGACATGCATACACACATGCTCAGCACACACACACGTGCGCGCCTGGCATGAGTTTAAGCCACTGGGTCCAGGATTTGAACCGCAGTCGACTACATGGGAGTCCAGCTACCTAGCTATTATGCTGACTGCTGGTCTCGGTCCAATAGGATTAAATAATCCAAGACTTAAAGGTATTATTAATATGTGTCAGTGGGTCAAATTTTTGGGAATCCGTGGAGAGAAAAAATCGGAGACCCATGGGGGTAAGTAATTGGGACCTCTGTAGAAATCCTCGAAGTATAATAAGAATTGGAGATGTAAGCATCTGAGGTCATTGCCTTAGTTTATGAGACTCTATTGATTGGGATGCTGAGATGGTGAATGACTGCAGGCCTGGGATCATGGAGAGATTACAAGTCTTTGGGAGTCAGTTTTAGGGGGCTTGTAGTAGTCATGGATTGAAGCCTGTGGACATCGGTTATTACAGGACTATATGAATTGGTATGTGATGGACTGGAAGCTCTATTACTGAGGGCTTATGACAGTCTGCTTATACATGAGGGACTTCAAAAAGTTCATGTAAATTGGAATTAAATTATGAGTTTATTTTGATGCAAAAAATGTGAAATCCATGCATACTTTTTTCTTAATAGATATTTTCTATGAACTTGTTGAAAACCTCTTGTAAATGGGCTATGAGTTATGGAGGTCTGTAGGAGGTCAGGTTTGACCCCCAAAGGCTCCATATTTTGACCTGCAGAGCAGCTCAGTGTTAGTTTTCTATTGAGAGTATGTTGCCCATGTTGGTGATTATTTGAGGAGTCTGTGGAAACCAGATGATGGCTCCATTCAGTACACAGTTTTTGTTAAACAGTGTGGGTATGACTTAGGAATTTGTGCAGACTTGCTGATTTTCAGGGCCCAGATGGGAATTGTGGGAAAGAGGGGTGAATGTACATTTTCATCTTTGACAGAAGAGAGTAGGCTCTATAAGTTGCCCAGAATGTACACTGAATCATACAGAAGCTCAGTATGTACGTGTGACGGTCATCCCTTAGCCATAGCACTTTGAAGGGAGTAGAAAACAGGAATAATGCTTATCATGACTCTAGAATGTATATAATACCATTTTGCTCAATAGATAAGAAAATACACTTTGGGGGCCAGCAGGTGGCATGTTGGTTAAAGGCGCTGGACTCCCATATGGCTGACTGAGGTTCGAGTCCCAGACTTGGTGGCTTGCTTTCTCACTTTTCCTCTCTCTCTTTCTCTGTGTCTCTCTGATCAAACTGGAAAAAATAATAAGAATAATAATAATAACAAATAAAGTTAAATAAAATAATTCTTTAAAAGAAAAAAGAAAATGTACTTTGAAGCCAGGCGTACTTGTATTTGAATCTCTGCCTTCCCTCATCTTAATGCTGTTGGAGCAAATGTCTTGACATTTCTGAACAGCCATATCTGATGGTAAATGGGAATAATTAGGCAGTTATATCTAGACCACAGGATGAATATGAAAATCAAATGAGGTGCCTAGTAAAGCATACTTTGCACCTTGTAACACTAGCAGTATTTACTTGAGTGCTCCAGGGGCCAGATAGGTGTGAGTGCTTTAGAAACATCATTCCATTAAATTCTGGCAACCCTATGAGATAAGGATTTGCGTTCTGTTTAAGATAAAGAAGTTCAGTCTATGGTGACTTCCCTAGATTTTAGCAAGAACATAGAAGAGCTGGAATTCATATCCTTGTTCATTTTACACCAAATCTTGTGAATTTTTCCCATCTGTCACACTAATACTTGGTGTTGGTTTTACTGAACTTGCCTGCAACATCCAGCATGATGTGGTGCCCCTTGGTGCCTCAGAAAGCATTTGCAGATGAATGTAAAGTGACTAACCATGTGGACATTGTCTTTCCAGAGTTTCTTGGAGCCTCTGCAGAGTCCAGGACCTGATTCTTTAGTGGAAACTGTAAGATCTTTCTTCGGACCCCAGCTTCCCTTGCCCCAGCAGCTCCAGCTGAGCCCACAGATGCCAGCTCAGCTTCAAGCTACTGGGAGAAGTGGATTTGTCAGCAGGAGAGCCTGAGGGCTGAGACCCAGCGTGATCATGCCAGCTAGCAGAGACTCTCCTCTATGGTCCCCAGCCCTGGCTGCAGAGGGACTTGGCAGCTCATATGAGGTAAGGAAGAAGAGAACCCCAGGGGTAAGAATTCATGCAGTGAGGAGATACCCAGAACCTGCCCCAGGATTCTGGCTAGGGGCAAGTCAGTCTCAGGAAGCAACAGATTCTGGCCTTGCTACCTTGGAGACAGATGGATGGCTATCTTATAACTGACATCACCACATCTAGAGCCTTGTGTGTTTCAGTGGGCAAGGTGACAGGGCTAATGGAAGCAGGGAGTGGTTATGGAGGGCCCAGCCCCACAGTATAGAGGAAAAAGGGAGGCAGCTCCCTGCAGGGTATCTGAGGGCAAGGCCGGGTGTGCCAGTCACCAACTATAGCCAGGGAGGTGCGACCCTTGACCCCAGCACAGGCCCTTTACTCTCCATCAGCTCTTTGTAGCTAATCCCCACCAGAGCCCCTTCTCTCCTGGCCTCTGGGGGTCTACTGATTCCTCCGCCCTCCTGTTAGGTAAGAGAAAAATCTTTTTTCTTTGGAACTTGAGACTGGGAGTAGGGCACCCACAGTCATTAGAGCCCTCTTAGTTCAGCCTCCTCCTTTCAAAGATGAACAAAATGGCCTGAGAAGGTACATGACTTGCCCAGGCTTCTCGGGTTGGCAGGGAGTGCAAGCTTGGTGCCAGGTCTTTCAGTTGCGCCCTCCACCCTCACTGCACCACAGCCAATACTAAGCTTCCCCCTCCAAGTTCCCCGTGAGATTCCTTGAGCAGAGGAGGACCATGAAAGTTGGACCCTGCCCAATAGCTCCCTCCTTTCAGACCTTCCTGTGGCCATTAGGATAATATTAAACCTTTAAATGGCATTTTGATTTTCATCATTTCATAATTTTGTAATAAAACGTTAGAAAATCCAGGTTAGCAAATAGCAGAAAATAAAAAAAATGACTTACAATTCCAGCATTACCCAAAATTAACCATTGTTAACATTTAGATATATTTCTTTTCAGTTGCTTTTTCCTTGTATATGCATGCATGTGTGTGGGTATACATGTGAGGCTGTGAGTATATGTGCATACTATATGTATATACATACATGGCTAAAGTTTAAGAATAGAATCATACTATTTGGTTATCACCTTTATTTTTATTTATTTTATTAGGTCGTCAGAAAAGTCATGACACATTTTTGCATAGAAAAATATGTTATGGGGGTGTGCAGCTGGCTTCACCTGGAGCTTGAGAAGCTGCACGCGGGTGTCCGGGGTCTGACAATGGCCAAGAACAAATTTAGAGGTCAGATGTCCAGGAATGTATTTCACATAGCCAGCCAAAAAAACTTCAAGGCTAAAAACAAAGCAAAACCAGTTACTACAAATCTTAAGAAGATAAACATTGTGAATGATGAAAAAGTTAACAGAGTGAATAAAGCTTTTGTAAATATACAAAAAGAACTGGCACACTTTTCAAGAGGCCTTTCTCTTGAACCTCTACAGAAAGATCTGGTTCCTCAGTGGCATCTTGAAAATGAACCTGTTAATGTTGATGAAGCTACAAGATTAATGGCTCAGTTGTAACGCAGTGATGATATATCAAAGTACCCAAAAAGTTCAATAAATTAAATGTTTTATACAATTTAAAAAAAAAAAGAAAAAGAAAAATATGTTATGGGGCTAACAGGTGGTGTGGTGGTTAAGGCCGTTGGACTCCCATATGGCCAACCATGGTTCAAGTCCCAGACCTGGTGGCTTGCTTTCTCACTTTCCCTCTCTCTCTCTCTCTCTCGCTCGCTCTGTCAGTCTCTGGTCAAATGAAAAATAAATAAATAAAGTTAAATAAAATAATTCTTTGAGAAAAAAAGAAAAATGTCATGACTTTTCCGATGACCTAATATTTTTAGTTTGCTATAGGGGGCATGTGTGCTCACCAGAGAGAGAGAGAAAGCAAGAAAGCAAATAGTGACAAGGTCCGGGACTTAAACCGTGGTTGGCCATGTGGGTTGGCCAGCACCTCAACCACTATGCTACTGCTGGCCCTGACCAATCCACTATGCATGTGCATTTAGGATGTTTCAGGTTTTCTATTGTGATTTAAACAGGTTTAGTAAAATTCCTAAATTTTTGCCAAGTCATTGAAATTTATATATATGTGTGTGTGTGTAAAAAGTTTATTTATTCTTTTCATGAGTAAGAGAGAAAGACAGCACCTCTAACAGGGTCTCTATACCACCCCTAGCTTCAGCCAGCCCTGGATTATGGGCACACAGATGCCCAGCATACTCAGGGAGGTCTCCAGATGTGAACCCAGAACCTTCCAACGTTGCCAGCCTTGCACTGCATTTTGTTTTACCAATGTGTCAACAACCAACTCCTGAAATTATGTTTTTAAGTCAAAGGTATAGGGTCATTGAATGGTAAATAAATCAATGTCAACATCATACTGCCACCTTGTCTTAGCTCTGTTCATCATATTAGTCAGGGACCCATAGTGTGGCCCACCCCAGCCCTCCACAGATGAGCCCTTGCTCAACTGATATGTGAGGATTTCTAGAGGAGGAATTCTGCGCTCTGTAAGGCACATTTCTCCATTCATCTCTTCCTTTCCAACTGCAGATCTCTGGTCTTCTCAAGAAGAGATGGAAATGATCAACACCATGGTGAATATTAGTTAATTACTTATTTATTTGTTAGGTTCTTAGCTTATTCATGTTATGGAGCAGGATATAATGCAGAGATACCAAGGAGCCAATCAGAATGTCCACAGGGATTGGGGAGCAGCCAGTTGGACAACCAAACAGTGGCTAAACTGGAGAACAAGCTTTAGAGGAGTCAGTAAGCAAAAAGGGACCATGGGGATAGCCATAGGGAGTCAGCAGGCAGATAAGGAAAAGAGACCAGCTGAAGGGACCATGGCACATGTACTGGAGAAGGAGACTAACCAAGCGGCCCAGGGAACAAGGGGAGACACAATGGAGCAGAGGACACAGGGGATATGAGTCAGACACTGGATAGCAGCCAGAGAGACCAAGCAATGGTCATTTAGGCTGGAGAAGAGTACTCTCTTGGGAGCAGGGAAGAGCCAGAGGGTTGAAGAATAGTCTGAATGATCATGAAGTAGGAGGGACCAGAACACAGAGGAACCAGGTGGTAGCCAGAAAGAGCAGGGAACATTCAGAGGGGTAAGGAAACAGAAGAGTCAGATAAAATGGTAAAAGCAAAAGGAGTTGAGTATGACTCTGAGGGACAAGCAATTTTTGGAGGAACCACGGAGCAGTTCCTTGACCTAGAAGAGAATTTGAGGATATAAGGAGAAGGCAGAGGTACCAGGGAACAAGAAATGGGAAATGTGACCCTGAGAATAAGTAGCAGCCAGAGGGATTAGGAGACGGTAGCCGAGGCTGTAGAATGGTTACAAGGATCAGGAAAGAGACAGAATCCATGGAACAGCTAGAAAGATGAGAAAAGAGCCTCTAAGCCTTAGAAATGCCTTAGGGTACTAAGGAACAGTCATCGAGGTTGGGGAACATAGGGAACAGCAGAAATATGCTTGGGGCTGAGCGTCAGCCAGAGTTCCCAGGAAATAACCAGAGGAATGAGGAAATGGGCAAAATGGGCACTGAACGTATCTGGTGTCAGGTGACAGCCTGATTGGCTGAGGAGGCAGCCAGAGAGACCAAAGAATTGCCAGGAGGAATCTTGTGAACACTGAAGCCAATTAACTGCCAGAAGTTCCCTGCAGAAGTCAATGAGATTAAGGAACAATTAAAGAAGTGAGGGTGAGGCTGGGGAACAGCCAGAGTTCAAAGACAGGGTGACTATCTTTGAGAGATTTTTGCTATAGGGTACATGCGCTCGCCGGAAACACAGAAACAGAGAGACAGAAAGCAAGAAATCAACTCCCATGGGGGATGGCCAAACCCCAACCCTTCTCCTCCATTCTCATTTTGGGATTTTGGGGATCCGGGGCATGCATACACATGCACCAAGTGTGAGTTTTAAGCTGCTGGGTCCGGACTTGAACCACTGTTGACCATGTGATAGTCCAGTGCCTCAACTATTATGCCACCTGCTGGATGTTTTTCAAGCCACCAGTTCCAGGACTCAAACCGTGCAGTTGGCCATGTGCGGTCCATTTGCCTTAACCACTATGCCACCAGCTGGCCTGTTTTCTATTTTTATTTTTTTTTAATTATTTATTTCTTCCATGAGCAACAGAGAAAGAAAGACAGCACTCCAAACAGGGTCCTGACATAGAGATCCACCTCCAGACTCAGCCAGCCGGGATCAAAGATGCACATGTGCCTGGCATACTCAGGGAGGCCTTCAGACACAAACCCAGAATCTTCCTTCACGAGTCAGCCTCACAGAACATCATGTTTCACCATTGTGCCACTGTCTGATCCCATGTATTGCAGTTAGTTGTCATGTCTCTCTAGTCTTTACTCCGATACAGTCCCTCCATCGTCCCTTGATTTTCATGACAGGGACAATTTTGAAGACTGTCCCTCAATTTGGGTTTGTTTGTTAACAGCAAACAATTAAATTCAGGTTATCAATTTGAGCAAGAAGACCACATAAGTGATGTTTTGTTCTCTGTGTCTCGTGCCAGGAGGCATTCAATATCAATTTACTCTGTTATTAATAATATTAACTTCAAATTTTTTAATTTTTTAAAAATTCAATCATTGTGTATCATTACAGCATACCAAATAAATTTTCCCATGATGAATACACTATATATTAGTTCAGTCAAAGATATTACCATACACATTATAATCAACAGATTTCTTTCCATTTTGGGTACCTTGAATGTTTTGCTTCATTCTTCTTCACCTTGATTCTCTACCTTTCACCCTTCCCCATTTCCCACCCTCCTACTCCACTGTCTCCAATATCACCATTGCTCTTTGTGCTTTTATACACCATAGAGTATTACTCAGGCAAAACAAAAACAAAAACAAATGAGACTCTGGCATTTGATAGAAAGTGGACAAATAAGGACCAGCAGATGGCATAATGGTTTTTGTCGCTGGACTTTCACATGACTGACTGCAGAGACAAAGAGACAGAAAGTGGGAAATCCACCCCCAAGGGGGATGGCCATGCTGCAATCCCTTCTCCTCCATTCTCTTGGCATCTTGGGCACATACATGTGTGTGCCTGGTGCAAGTTTTAAGCTTCCATGTCTGGACTCGAACCATGGTTGACTATGTGGGAATCCAGCAATGTAACCATTACACCATCTGCTGGTCCCCATGAAACCAATTTTGTAATATTCCCATCTTCTCAAAAAGAAATCCCCTTGGGCTGGCAGGTGGTGTGGTGGTTTAGGTGTTGGACTCCACATGGCCGACTGCAGTTCAAGTCCTGGACCTGGTGGCTTGTTTTCTCACTTTCTCTCTCTCTCTCTCTCTCTCTCTCTCTCTCTCTCTCTAGTGAGCATACATGTCCTATGGCAAAAATCTCCAGGGGGGGATAAAAGAGAGTGCACATCACCAATATACCACAGAGCTGACTGGCACTGCTATTTTAAATCAGTTTAGAAATGGCATGTTATATCACATGTCCATGTTTTATGTCAGTTCAGTCATAATGGTCATGTCTAATTTTTTATTTTTCTGTCATTGTTCCCATTCTCATATTTTTCCCTTTCATTAAGCCCACATATATATTTTTTTCTTACTTCTGTCCCTTTATTTTTCCTTGTCTCAATATTCCCATCTACTTATTTATCTGCCTTAATGGGTTAGTTAGCAGATACAAAATATATTATACAAAAACTCTGATAAAATTACTTAGCTACAACAATTCCTTTTCAATTCAAATATTTTTAATTATTATTTTATTATTCATATACATGCAATCAGTGTATATCATTACAGCTTACAGAATGAATTTTCCCAGCATGAATACACTGTATATTAGTCCAGTTAAAGATATTTCCATACACATTATCATCAGATAATTTTCCATTTTGTGTCCCTTAAATGTTTTGCTTCTTTCTTTTTCCC